CAAATACTTAACTTTGCGAGCTGAATAAAGAGCCTCATGATTTGGCTAACTACTTCATGTCACCCCGCATTCTTACTGGTAAGTGAAGTTCATGCATAATTAGACAGCTGATCTGGTAAAAGCTGTTCATTTGTTTCTATAATACTGAAGCTTGTTTTATGTTTGTTGATGAATGGCCATTTTGTGTTACATACTCATGAGTAATTGACGTGTGCTTGAATTAAACTCCAGGTTATTCAAGCCTTCTTGTTTAATTCGGTGGCCCTTCTTTTTCTCCTTATCTACCTTCATAATTTTATCCAATAACCGGAGGCCATTTTATAATACGTCTAAATATCATAAGGTGCTCAATCTATAGTCACTACAATGTGCTATATAAAGTGATATAGAACCTATTGTTTTGCAGAATATGCTGCAACGAGTGGGCAAGAACTACCTCTACTTTTATGGGCATAAATAGGGCTAGATAGAGGGGGAGAGCTTGATAAGGCTTGACTAGCTGAGTCTTGTTTGGACTCCGAAACTTTAGCTTAACCATGGCTATTGCATATACACAGCACATATTTATCCACAAACCTAAAGCAATCGACAGCCTTGCAAGGTCTTAGGCTAGTTCATCTACCTAAGGAAACATTTGAGACCGCATCCGATCCTTGCTCATTCATCGACTTCACCTAATTGAAAACGTTTATGGTAGGTATCAAGTAGTAAACCAAATCATGTCATGACGCCATAAAATTGCAAAGAAATAGGATTTCAACCGCCAACCTTCTTGCTATAGTGTTTTGGTGATATTTTCATAACTTATTGGTTTTTGCTCAGACGATGTTTGTCCTATAACAGACAAGAGCTAAACACGGGTTTATCGGGGTCTTCTTTGCGCAATCCAACAGTCACAGGTCAAAGACGATCCTCCTTTGGTGTCCGGTGGGTCTAATTTACGAGCCCTTTCTACCCGTCATTTCAAAATAACTGAAAGGTACGCTAGTATCTGCGAAATATACTAATTTCTTATATAATCCTGACATTTCGGTCCATCTTACCTTAGCTCCTCTCGATATTTATTCGGCTTCATTTGATACGCCTTAATGCAATAGACGATTCATAGCAAGTGCTTACAGCTTCAAAACCTACTAAATGTGAATATCACTTAATTTTTTTGTAGTCCACACAGTTGTCTTGACTTACCTCAAGCTCATGAAGCGTTTTTAACATGCACCTGCCAGTAACTAGGAGACAACTTTCACTTTTAGCATCTGATTTATTTGTGTTTAAGTAATATGGAGTTGCTGCTTGTATTAAAATCCCATAAAATATAGTTGGCTTACTTTATTGAGCAAATAGAATCACAGATATCCATACGACTTTATATATGTGAACATATATTTTGGTATATGTATGTATATGCCCGTGTATAGCAAATGGCCTATATACACAAATTTAGCACACAATGTAGTCTGTTTGCATGCGTGAATATATGCTAGTGTACGACTATTTGTATGTGCGTGCGTTTGGTTGTCCCTATATGAGTAATAATGCGCATAAACTTGCAACCGAATAAATGAGGTTGCATTTATTTCACCGATTTAGATTTATGCTCATGAAATAGTACAATCCATGACTATTGGCTTCTCAGGGTTTGGCCGACATTCTCTTTTCAACTCACTTGTATGACTTCTCCGCTGGCTGAGAAAACGATTTTTGAACAGACTCTTGGAGGCCATGACCAGGGAGAGCTTCCGGCTGCTTGGATTATTGCCACTTCCATTCCCGCTACTGGCATTACTACTTCTCCCCGTAGACGTTCCGGTGACTGAGCTTCGATGTATTCTCTTCCCAGTGACCTCATTGGTATCCAGGTCGAGATTTAACCTGCCCGCATGACCCTCTTCGCAAGCAACACCTAGTATGTTTGAGCTACCCCCCTTCTTCCTCGTCTGCCCACCATCGTAGTATGTCTGACAGCTACCGATGTTACTGCTGAGGCTTGGGTGGTTTGGTTTATCGATGGCTGCAAATGCACTGAATCGCCGGCTCCTCAGATCTCCCAGGGAATTGGCTCCAGCGCAGGACACTGCTGATGCCAGGTAACTTGATGTGAAGCCAATGTAGCTCGTGGGTGGCGTTGCAATGCTCGGAAAGTGAATGTGGCGCATCTGGAATAACTCATTCTGTTCCCAGAGTACTTGAAGCAACTGCGAGATGCCCTCATTGACCAGAGCTGAGGTGGATACCACAGCTTCCATATTCGCGCCAGGCAGGCCAAGTCTACGGACACCAGCCTCGATCTCAGCATCTGTCAGGACCCACTGGTCGATGTGGAGATCATGCTTATTCACAGCCAAAACGATTGGCAATCTGTCGTGTTCATCGGGCCGTTCCTCACAGATCTGCTCTCGTAGACTGATAAGATTATCAAGGCTCTGTTGGCGGTCGCGCGATGCCACCAACAAGAAGGCGGAGGCTCGTCGAATCCAGAGCCGTTGCATAGCTGGGAAGTCATAGCTACCCGATGTATCCATGATCCGTATGCGGCAACGATACTGATGCACAATGTAGTCGCGTGTATAACTATCCTCCACTGTTGGTTGGTAGCGGCCCTCTAGTGTTTCGCTCTGCCAGCAGACAAGGCGGTGGATGATTGCCGTCTTACCTACCCTGGCGTCACCAAGGACCACTATTGTGGCATTCAAGCTGTCCTCATCACCTAACTTCAACTCAGCCATGGTTTCGCTTAGTCACAGGACGTCTGTGTTAAGATAGGTTTAAAAAATAAAATCATTAGTAGTTGTGAAGACAATTGGACGGATAAAAGGGTCGAGATTCATTGGATAGCCTCTGTCAGGTGGAAGGTTCTGACACGGGCCAAACTGTATGGCTCATCATAGCGAGCTTATTTCATAAGGCATCACTTAGGCCCACTAAAGCCAAATATGCGCAACTTTTATTTGCTATGAATGTTTCGAAATTATCAGTAAATCTTAAATATGGACTTAGTCACCCATGATTGCTTGAGGTTAGTTAAAGATTAACACTCTACTTTTCCATATCGCCAAGATGCGAGCGAGCGAGCTGGTTTCAAATCCTGTTGTAGTGCTGATGAGACCCAAGCCGAGCTTGAATTTCAGTCCGCTCTGAATAGAACAACTTTTTAGGGATCTAAGCCAGGTAAAACCTAATGACATCGTAGAGCATTGTGGAAAAACTCCGCTCCTACTCCTTATATCACCTTAGTAAACCTAGGGTGTTTTGAAGATACGAAGACCAAAATGTTGTAGCCTCTGGTATGGTCGCAGTCTTCTTTCGATTTATAGAAGTGGGTTGACCTCGTCGCAACTTGGTCTTGTTGTCAGGGTGACTTAGTAGAACGCACCTAGTCCGAAGTCGCCTGCCATAGTAGTTGTCATGATTCCTAGCATCAGACAGGGGATTTGATACATTCTCAAACGTTCCGCCGGCAACATAGTCGGCATCATCAGTGAGTTTTGCCATTCTCCGCACCAAGCTACGAATTCGTCAAAGAGACAAGTGAAGTCAATCTCTTGACAAACGTTCTGCCAAAAACGGTTACACTATTACCAAGCTACGAACTCGTCCGAATTGGAGGCCGATCGGATCAGCCGATCGAAAGAGAGGAGTCGGGGTAAATGGCAACTGTGATGAGGCCACACTAGATTTGCCACAAAAGAGCACACATTTTGACGAGTGGAATGTAAACAAGTGAGAAGTTGTGATAGTTCGGCAGTGGGATAAGAGGGCAAAGAGTAGATAGATAGGCCAGGACAGAAATAGGAGTGATGCCGACTGCGATGCCGGCGAAACGTTTGAGAATGTACCAAGTCCATTGTCTGATGCTGGGAATTATGACAACTAGTATGGCAGACGACTTCGGACAAGATGCGTTCTACTAAGTCACCCTGATAACAAGACCAAGTTGCGACAACGAGGTCAACCCGCTTCTAGGGTGTTTTGTTTTCTTCAATTATTTGTATGGTCTTTGACAAAATCAAAAACACTATTATGGAATGCAAGGGAGATACTGTGATCAAAGTATATTCGCAGTCAGTTACCATTAAAATAGCTTAGCCGTGTTAGCTTTAGTTGGTACGACGCTGGATCCAACCTAAGAAAATCAGTGAGCTGGTACTACAATTTAATTAATATGCTATCACAATTTGCCTGGACACTAGTTATTTGTTAATTTTCCCTTGCCTAACCTTATTTTCCGAGTTACTCATAGTAATACAAATAATTAATTGATTCTAGATTATTTCGAAATCGTTCGATATGAATAAAAGTTATGTTGTCAGGTTATTGGACTCAAATAGAGAAGGCATTCACGTAGAATGGAAGTGAGAACTGTGGCCACAAACAAAAGCTTGAATTGATGATGATACCTTGCACTGATGATGTTCGTCATATGACGGACGAAAGCTCAGCACCTTTTCACCGGAATCGAAGGAGATTACCTCGGAAACAGCGTCAGCATGAATGTTGCAGTAAAGTCAATCGACAGCCGGTCAGGAGGAATCCGCCATCATCTTCTGGTGAATTCGACATTCAAATCTCCTTACCAAACACCTTCACCCGAAATGGAATTAGGCACAACAATTATGAAAGAAGATATTCTTTGAAATCCAACTTTTCTTCGCATATAAAAGGGTAATAATTGCGCCCCATTCGTCGTTCCTTCAAGGCTATCAAAAATACTATATTTTTACCCCAAAGCTACATTTTAGTTAAATTCCATACTCGAAATATCACTATTCCTTCTACATCTATCAGAAATCTCTACATTTAGATTGTTAGGCTAGTGTCGAATTCATATAAGTGCTTGGGTGGGGTAAAAAATTAAGTTAATAATGGGTAACATTGGATTATATGCTCAAGATCGGCTTAACAATGAAATTGGCTTTAATCCGACCTCTTCAGACTTAATTCATTCTCCAAGCTCGTACCAGGATTCAATCTATATTCAGTTAATTATAGTTCTAGAATTTATGCCTTATTAGATATACAAAAAAATTGGTTTTCAAATCACTCCTGGCCTAGGTTGAAACTGAAATCCAACCCGGATGAGAATACCTTTTGGGAAAGCAAGGCTATGTAAACTTCTCTGGATATGTAAGCTATACTCATATCATTGTGGGAAAATTCATTTAACGGTCCTTCACCACATTAATGAAATAGGCTGAATACGTATCACACCTTTATTTAGTTTGACGAGGCAAGTGGAAGGGATTTTTAAGTTGGCCTCATCGGAAGTCGAAGTAGGGTTGCTTTGGAGCTATGAACAGATCTGCGCCCCCGATCAATTCCTGGTGAGTTTTCGTTCATCATGTGACGGAAATCGTCAGAGTAGGCTACCATGCTTTACGACAATTCACGGATCACAAAGGCAAGAAAGGGGGCCGGCTGTAATCCTACCTACTTCTTAAAGATTAACTTTGTCCATTTAGTGAAACATCTCATTAATTGGTTGGATATCCTATGCTTTTCTTGTATGCTTGCTGAAAATTAGTGGCTTCGGATGACGTGAGGTGGCTACAGATAAAGTGTGAAATGGATGCAATTGTGACCGAACAGCTGCATCTTATCCAAAATCACATATATTTTTGATCCTGCAATGTTGATGCATCCTATTGTTTCCCTATGCACGAGTGCTGTATGCATGCAATACCTGGGGTATGAAAGTGAGAAAGAGATCCGAGACTAGTCAAGAACCCCCTTGCTCAACGGTACTTCTTGTTCTCTTCCTCTCTAAACTTATGCAGCAGCCACAAGTTGCTTACGCTTAATTTCCTACATCTATTCCTTCTATTCATGGTGTTATTTGTTCTGTTGAATTGTATCGATTCCCTGATCTTCCATCTACC